TCGGAGGAGGGCCCTGTGTGGCCCTGGCCGTGTCCGAGGAGTGGGGAGGGGACGGATGTGGAGCGACTCGCTGCTGCTCTGCTCACCGGGCCGGGACTGTGAGGGGGCTCTGGGCTGATGGGGGCAGAGCTGGGCGACGGGAGAGGTGTGTCCCTCCTGCCCGGAAAGGCCGGGTGAGCCCTTCACCCCTGCACTTACTCCTGCCGAGGTTGCAGCCCAGGAGGAAGAATTGCTGCAGCCCAGCTGGAACGGCTGAACCTACGGGAAATCACGGAATCATCACAGAATCATGGAATAGTTTGGGTTGAAGGGACCCTAAAGCCCATTCGGTCCTACCCCCTGTCATGGGCAAGGACAGCTTCCACTATCCCAGGTTGCTCCAAGCCCCATCCAACCTGGCCTTGGACACTTCCAGGGATGGGGCAGCCACAGCTTCTCTGGGCAACCTGTGCCAGAGTCTTACCCCCTGACAGGGAAGGATTTCTCCCCAGTATCCCATCTAAATCGCTCCTTTTTCAGCTTAAAAACAGCCCCCTTGTCCTGTCACTCTGCCCATGACAAGAGAAATGTGATTGGCAAGTGCAGCGTGAGACAGGCTGAGAACAGATGCCAGGCAGGGCAGAGCTTCAGAGGAGGGAGCAAAGACACCAGGACCAGGTCCTGTGTCCACATCCCGAGGGCAGGGGACCTCCTGCCCAGGTGTGTTCCCTGGAGCCAACCCCCCGCGGTGAGTCAGAGGGAAAAGCTCTCCGTGTGCTGATCAGCCAGTCTGGTGAGCGCCCACGCCGGCAGGAATGTGCTCCTGAAGCAGCACAGGACACCCGGGAAGGCAGGGCTGGGGCAGGGAGCCCCTCCTGCACACAGGGACACGAGTCACGCACACCCACGCAGGGCACAGTCACACACCCCACGCCTGGCACACACACTGTCACATGTGTCAGGGCTCACACAGAGTCACACGGGGGCCCACGCAGTTACACACACACACACAGGGTCACATGGGGGCCCACCCAGTCACACACACACAGCGTCACACCAGAGCCACACACCAAGGCACGGACACACGTGCAGGTTGATGGGAGCACATACACCACCGCAAATGTCCCCCTGCACACACACGGCCAACACCTGCCCCTTGCTGTGGGCCCAGGCATGGCCAGACATGGCCACAGTGAGGGAAAGGCTCGGTTTCTGTCCTGGTTGGGGCACAGGGACAGTGGCAGGGGGGTGGCTGCAGCTCCCCAACTGGCCAAGGGAGTCAGATGGGGCAAAGGTAGACCTGACAAGCCCAGATCCGACAAGCCCAGGTCCGTGGAGACCTCTGTGACAGCCAGGACACAGGGCTATCCATGGGCAGTTGTACTGTCAGAAGAAGGTGATGGCAGAGTCCAGAAGCCTCCCAGTGAGATGTGTCCCATGCCTCGCACCAGGGCTGCTCCCTGTGCCCCAGCCCTGCCACCCCACTGGGGGTCCATGCTCAGAGGTCCAGGTGTATATTCCAGGTGTGATCTCGTGTGTCAGCACAGGGCAGGGCCTCCTCGCCATCCCCAGGGGCGGGGAAGGGAAGGATTTAAATTGGGCACTTGCCTCGGCTGCTCATCCTGGCTGGGAGGCGGCAGGAAGAGGAGGAGGAGGAAGATCAGAGCTGACAGGGATCCACCGCACTGGAGACGTGTCCAGCAGGTAGGACAGAGCCCACCTGGGGGTCATCAGGGCTGCCACAGCCCTGGTCCTGTAGGGCACCCTCCATGCATCTGCCAGGGACCTGCAAGGGAGGTGGGGACCTCACTTCTATCCCGTACCCCAACGTGGGGAGCTGAGACCCCTGGGATTGGTGAGCAGGGGTCTCCAGGCAGGACTCAGGGCTTTTCTGGGAGGGGACAAAGTGACCAAGTGGCACCAGGGCTGGCTGGAGCTGCTGCTCCGTGTGACAAACTTTGTGTCCCTGATGCCTCAGCTGAACTGGGATGAGGGAGGGAACAGCCAGAGCTGCGGGACCTGCCTGAGCCCACAGGCACCGGCTGGGGCACTGGGACTGAGCTGGGAGCTGGCACAGGAGGCTGTGGCTGGCACAGTGGGGCTCACTGGAATCCCTGGGCTGGAGGCTGTGGCTGGCACAGTGGGCTGAACTGGGAGCTGGCACAGGAGGCTGTGGCTGGCACAGTGGGCTGAACTGGGAGCTGGCACAGGAGGCTGTGGCTGGCACAGTAGGGCTGAACTGGAAGCTGGCACAGGAGGCTGTGGCTGGCACAGTGGGGCTGAGCTGGGAGCTGGCACAGGAGGCTGCAGAAGGCACAGTAGGATTTGGTGAAATCCCAAAGCTGGAGACTGTGGATGGGGAGATGGGGCTTGGACGGGAGCCCAGTGAGGAGTTCTGTGAGCAAGCACCGGGCTGGGGGGACGGGTGTGATGTCCCTCCCCAGGGGATAGGCAGGGCTGGAGACCCCTGTGCTGTCAGGCCACCCCCGCTCTCTCCCGCTGCAAAACCGCTTCCACTGGGGCGTCTTGGGCCGGGCTGCTGTGACAGCTTGAAGGACCAGCCAGCCCCTGCCCCGGGAGCTGCGTGTGCAGCCCAGCCCCTGCATCAGGAGGCTGATTAGAGACCAGCTAATGACAGGCTGCAGTTGGGAAACGACTTTGCAGTGCAGGGTGTTCACACGACATCCGTGTCCTACAAAGGTGTCACCGGCTCCAGGGTGTGACACAGCGTTGTCCAGCACCCAGTGCCACCCCAGCAGGCGACACAACCAGCCTGTCACCTCCTGGCTGCATCCTCAGAGTCAGGCAGGGAGGGAGAGAAGCTGCTGTCAGGGGCTGGAGGCACAAGGCAGACCAGCTGTGGGTGGTAGAAGAGCCTGCAGCCACAGGCGGGGTCCCCAAAGAGCGGGGGCTGGGCTGGAGCTGCCGGGATAAACCTCTCCCCCATCTGCCCCAGCATCAATCCGATATTTAAATGGATCAAAAGCAATGACTCAGAGACTTTCCGACCAGTTGGGAAAACAGTCGGAGACTTAAGCCTTGACCCTGATAGTGAGTGAAACGTGTCATTACTGTCAGTCAGGGCAGTTTACGGGACATGGGTGTTCCCAAAGAAATGCTTTGGGTTTCGGTTCTGCCGTTTTTACAAGGCTGTGGCCTCATCACTGCACGGTGTTAGGGAGGGAGGCTGAAAGTTTGTTTACAGGGCTTCCTGAGGGGACCAGGTGAGAGCACGTGAGACATCCCATGAGTGGGTGGCATCCCTGCCCGTGGCACAGGGCGGAACAAGACGAGTTTTAAGGTCCCTTCCCACCCAAGCCATGCTGGGATTCCACGGTGATTCTGTGTTTACCAGACAGATTTAAACGTGCCCAGCTCATGGAGCCACAGACAGGACCAGCCCCCCGGTGGCAGCAGAGCCCTGTTTTGCAGGACACGAAGGTGGCAGGACGGGGTCTGAGGGTTTTGCCGACCCAGTGGCCTTAGAACAAGCAGTGACCCAGGGAACCCAGAGACCCACCTCGAGCACAGCCAGAGGGAAGGTCTCTGCTGGCTTGGACCTGCTGCTGCACCTCGATCTGAGCAGCCACTCGTCCATCCCTAAGACTGTTCCCATGTCCTGTGTCGTGCCAGGCTGGTGGGGGATCACACAACCAGGAAGATCTCAGTGGACAGCCATGTGCTGGGCTGTGCCTGTCACCCTGCCTGGTGCCAGCTGTGTCCCACCACTGTCACAACCAGCCCGGGACCAGCACCAGGCCAGCCAGGGCGGAAAATGACTGGCAGCACAAACCAGCACCTCTCTGAGGCTGGTGGCATCACGTCAGGAAAACATGACTGTCTCTTGGCATGACCTGAGCTTGTGAAGTGACCAACAGCAAAATCTGCTGGGGAGGGAGCAGGGAGGGGAAGGAAGGAGGGGAGCAGGGAGGGAGCAGGGAGATAAACAGGGAGGGAGCAGGGAGCTGAGCAGTATTCCTGCCTCGTGCTGGCACTCAGTGGCATCAGCCCAAAAGCAAGTGATGGTTGTGTCATCCAAGAAGAGAAGAGGAAGGTGGTTGAGGCCACAGGTTTGAGTCAGTGTCAGGCTCCGGGAGAGCGGGTGGGCCCTGGAGTGAGGCCAAGGCATCCACACTGCTGAGAAGATTCTTCTCTGTGTGATATATGTCTGTCCCCAACCTGTGACATGCCCTTGGAGTGCTTGGTCTGCACCCTGCGATTGCTCTGAGGGAGCAGCTCAGCAGCAAAGCCCCAGATCCCACTCCCTGCTTCTCCCTGGGCTCCTGTGACCCCCTCCAGGCAGAGGCTCTATCCACACCCACCGGGAAAACCGCAGAGAGCGCTGGGTCTGAGCACAGGGTCTGTTTGTTTGTCTCTCCTCAGACACACACGGTGCCCCGCGGGAGCAGGACTGTTCCCCAGAGACGATGCACAGGATGAGTGGACGCCCTGGGAACAAGTCGAGCAACACGGGGAGGAACCTGATTGCGGATGAACACAAAGAGATGGGCGGGGGTGGGAACAACTTCATCGCGGGAGTCTTCATCCAGGCCAAGAACAAGAAGCTGAGCATCTACGATGCCATGATGAGGGGGCTCCTGACCCCGGGCACGGCGCTGGTGCTACTGGAGGCACAGGCTGCCTCGGGGCTCCTCACGGACCCCGTGAGGAACGAGCGGCTCTCGGTGAAAGCAGCGCTGGCGTCGGGGCTCATCGGCCGGGACTTCTACGAGAAGCTACTGTCGGCAGAGGGAGCCGTGACAGGGTACACGGAGCCCTACACGGGAAATAGGATCTCGCTGTTCCAGGCCATGCAGCAGGAGTTCATCGTCCGGGAACACGCCATCCGCCTGCTCGAGGCGCAGATCGCCACCGGCGGCATCATCGACCCCGTGCACGGCCACCGCGTCCCCGTGGACGTGGCCTGTGAGCGTGGCTACTTCGACCAGGAGATGAGACAGCTCCTCTGCAACCCCGAGAACCAAACAAGGAGCTGCTTCGACCCCAACACCCACGAGAACCTGACCTACGTGCAGCTGCTGCGCCGCTGCGTCCCCGACCCCGACACGGGGCTGCTCATGCTGCAGCTGATGGACAAGGGCTCCGTGCTCTACCAGCTGACCGAGGACGCCCGCAAAGCCCTGCAGGCCGCCCGCACCACCCTCAGCGTGGGGCTCTTCCAGGGCCAGAGCGTCACTGTCTGGGAGCTCCTCTTCTCCCGCTACGTCCCTGAGCTCCAGAGAGAGGAGCTGCTGAGGAAATACAAGGCAGGGACAGTGAGCATCCCACAGATGACGACCATCCTCACCACCACCATCACCGGGGCAGAAGTGGGAAACGGGGGTTGAGCTTGTCCACAGCCAAACCCAGCAATGAGGTGAAGGCAGCACCCCCAGCTCAGGACGTGCAATCCCAGGAGCAACAGCTGAGAAAGTCCTTGAAGTCCGCAACTGTCCATGTCACTGCTGGGGAGTTCCGGGGCCAAAACGTTTCCTTGCTGGACCTGCTCTTTTCCAAATATGTCCCTCAGGAGAAGCGGCAGGAGCTGCTGGAGCTGTACAGGGCAGGGATCCTGAGCACGGAGCAGGTGGCCACGGTGGTCACCACCATTGTGAACAGAGCAGAAGCCGCCAACGCTGCACTCGTGGCAAACGCCAGAAATCCACACAGGGCAGTGGCGAGGGCAGGGGACAATGGAGATCATTGTTCAGCACAAGACACACACCTGGATGATGTCTTGAAGTCCACCACCATCGCTGTGCCAGCTGGGAAGCTACAGGGGAGGCAGGTCTCCCTGTGGGACCTGCTCTTCTCCGACTACATCCCTGAGGAGAAGAGGCAGGAGCTCCTGGAGCTGTACCATGAAAGGTTATTAACTCTGGAGCAGATGACAGCTCATTGTCACCACCCTCATTAAGAAAAGAGAATCTACAGGCAGGAAATTCCAAATTAAAGTCAAGGGTTCTGATAAGGACACTGTGACAGTGGCAGGACAGGAGGGTGACAAGCCTCCCAAAGAAGAATCGTGGGAAACAACTTTGAAAAACACAGTGGTCGAGGTGGAGGTCGGGGAGTTTCGGGGCCACAAGGTCTCAGTGTGGGACCTGCTCCACTCCCAGTATATCCCTGAGGAGAACAGGAGGGAGCTCCTGGAGCTGTACGAGGCAGGGGAGTTGACCCTGGAGCAGGTGAAGACGGTTGTCACCACCATCGTGACCAAGGCAGCGGCAGCGAGGGCAGAGCAAACGTCACCCGTGGGTGGTCCTGAGGCAGAGCCCACAGGCACAGAGGCTGAACCCACGGGCACAGAGGCTGAGCCCACCTTCCTGCATGGGGACATGACCTGGGAAGAGACCCTGAAGGCCACCAGAGTGGAGGGGTCAGTGGGTGAGTTCCAGGGCAGGCAGGTCTCGCTGTGGGACCTGCTCTTCTCCGACTACATCCCCGAGGGGCAGAAGCAGGAGCTCTTGGAGCTGTACCATGAGGGGACACTCACCATCCAGGAGCTGCTCAGCACCACCAGCAGCCTCGTGACCGACAGCCAGGAGAGGCACCTCGCGGCCCTTCTCCCCCAGACCGTGGACCTGCTGCGCTCCGAGGGCTCCTACATCACGTTTGGCCCGTGCCAGGAGCGGAGGGTGTCGGTGTGGGAGCTGCTCTCCTCCAAGCAAGTCTCCGAGTACAAGCGCGAGGCCCACCTCGACACGTACGGCACGGGGGGGCTGACGGTGAACAAGATCACCATCACCACCACCGTCATCACGGGCCCCCAGCGCCAGAAGAGCCACCAGCGGCACCACTGACACCCACCCCCGGCACAGGAGGGGGCTCAGCCCCCCTGGGCGCCTGTGGGACTTTGCTCTCCATGTCCCTCTGTGTGTCACTCCTGTGACAAAGCCATGTGTGGGGCGGGGTGGGCGCCCGGTTAAACTCCTGCTGTCTCAACCACCCCTGTGCTGAGATTTCTTTTGCCCAGCAGGGCTCTCCTGGAGGGGTTCTGGGGGTCCAGGAGCCCTGTGGCTGTGCTGTGCACACACAGGCAGTGACCAAGGACAGGGAGATGCAGGGCCAGCATCCAATTCGGGTGGGCTGGAGAGTGCCCGAGTGGGAACACACATAGGGGGTGTGAGCAGCACAGCCTCAGCTCCAGGAGAGCCACAGAGGGACAGACACACTCTGGTCAGGCCCCAGAAGAGGTGCAGAGGGACAGACACGCTCTGGTCAGACCCCAGGAGAGGTGCAGAGGGACAGACACACTCTGGTCAGGACAGACCTTGTCCCTACTTGGGACAGCTGGAACCCTGGCCCTGCTGCACAGTGGGGACAGCACGGCCTGTGAGATGCTGAGCCCTGAGCTGTCCCTTGGCTCTGCTGCACGATGGGGTCACGGGGCTCTCTGGGCTGCTGGATCTTGTGGCACACGAGTACTGGGAGACAGGGGCTCTGGTGCCAGGGCTGTGACACCTGTGACACTCAGAGGCCACCAGGGGCACTCACAGGAGTGGTGGTGCCTCAATGGGACGCAAGGACACTTCTCAGAGGGCACGGGGGGCTGCTCCCATGCGCACCAGGGAACCCCAAATCCCCGTGCCCATGAAGGCCACTGCACGTCACGGGGGAGGAGCACCCGTGGGAGCACCCCCACCCTGCTCAGTGCAGGGGGTGCCCTGGACTCCCCCCACAGGACCATGGGTAGAGCTGTGCACGCCTGTGCTGTGCACGTGTGTGCTGCAGAGCCGTGTTCCGTGGCCACACACATGTGCCACACGTGCACCCCAGAGCTGCACACACATGTGCCCCACATCGTGTGCACTGAGTCCCCAGAGCCACGTGCCACGGCCACACACACACGTGTGCACAGTGCCAGGAGGGGACTGGCTGTGCTGAGCCCTGAGGAGCCCTGGGGTGCTGGGAGGGATGGGGGGACACAGGGCACAGCCTGTAGGGGGGGTGGTGTTCCTGTTACAGGGCTCTGTGTGTGTGTGTGTGTTACTGTGTGTCTGTGTCTGATTGTCCCACCTCATTGTCCCACCTCATTGTCCCCTCTCATCCCATCCCATTGTCCCATCCTAATTGCCTCATCCCATCCTATCCCATTGTCCTATATCCATTGTCCCACCTTGTGAGGACTCAGAGAAGCACGGAAATGATGAGGCAGGGAAGGACAGGGAGGATGAGGGGACTTCCCAGGTGGAGAGGTGCCCCGGGTGGATGGCTCAGCACCCAGGAGTGTGGATATGTGCTCTGTGTCTTTTCCAGCCCTGGGATTGTGGGTCATTGCCAATCCAGCACGAGGCCAGTTGAGGTGGCAGGAAGGAAGGAAGGAATTCTGCACAATCCAGGTGGCTGAGCCGAGGAACTGCCTGCTGCAGGATGTCCTGGGAGCTAAAGGTTCCTGTGGGCTCACAAAGCATTTGGAGCAAGCCACGGAGCAAAACCCACCGCTGAACACCAGGAGAGAGGGTTGTTTCAGTAGCTCCCAGAGACACCAACCCCTGGTTCCGTGGGGACCCACTGGAGCAGGGTTGCCCTGCCCGTCCCTCATCCTCACCCTGTGTCCCACACACCCGGTGCCACGGGTGGGACAGATCGTGATGCTGCAGCCCCCCCGTGTCCCTGCTCCCGGCAGGGACTGGGCACCACCCCTGCCCCTGGCACTGGGACACTCCGAGGGGTTGGGTGGTGTCGGACGGTGGGAAGGAGCACCAGCAGCCGGGGTGGGGAGGGGTCTGCGGGGACTCGGTGCCAGCTCCAACCTGCCCGAGGAGCTGGAAAGGCTCCAGATGGCTCCCGGGGACTCGGATTGCAATCCCACAGGAAGTGCCGAATTTCCAAAAAAGCAGCTGAAAGCAAACAGGACGTTGTGCGAGGCGAGCGCCGCATATATTTGCATAGTGAAGAGCTGGTTGCATAACAGAACAGTCTGAACGGCCTCCGAACGCTCTCCGGGGGCAGGAGGGGAACGGCAGGGGCAGCCCCCCGGCCCCATCCCTGCGGGAATGTCGCTCCACGGCGGATGTGCCGGGTAACTCCTCAGCTTTGTGGGAGAAGAGGGGCGTGAGAGCAAAAGCCCCAGGATGGGACCTGACCTGCTGGAAAAGGAGCAGGAAACCTGTAAATTCCTTGCTGTGCCCACGGACTGTGTGTGGAGGAGCAGGTGCAGTGCCCACAGCAGTTTTCCCTGCTGAGTGATCGCAGAATCATGGAACTGTGGAATGGTTTGGGTGGGAAGGGATCTTACAGACGTCCAATTCCACCCCCTGCCAGGGGTAGGGACACCTTCCACTAGCCCAGGTTGCTCCAAGCCCCGTCCAACCTGGCCTTGGACATTTCCAGAGATGGGGCAGCCACAGCTTCTCTGGGCAACCTGTGCCAGGAACTCACCAGCCTCACAGGGAGGAATTTCTTCCCAATATCTCATCTAAATCCCTCTTCTTTCAGCCTAACGCTGTTCCCTCTTGTCCTATCACTGCATGGCCCTGTGAAATGTCCCTCTCCAGGGACCACAGATCCCCTCAACAGTGCCCTTGAACAGGGAACGTGGTGCCAACCAGGCCCATCACCCCATTGAAGCCCCCCAGCCCAGTTAGGCACAGCCAGGGGGGCGGGCAGGGCACTGCTGTGCCATCGTGTGGGATCCCTGCAGCAGCACTTTTCCAGGAATCCTTTGAGGGGACGGGTAGGGTCTGCTCCGGGTGTTGTTCCCTCCACCTCCTCCGGCAGCCACAAACATCCTCGGAGTGCTCAGCCCCATTTCCTCAGGAGCAACCCCCCGATCAGCCGGAGCAGACCTGCTCCTGGCTCCCTGTGCGTCCCTGATAAGGCTGCCCTGGGCAATCTTATCTCCCGGCACATCTGTCCTGCAGAGCTGCTCCGGCTCTGCAGTTCCCTCCGCATTCCCTCAGCTGCCTCCCTGCTCCTTTTCCACAGCGAATCCATAGTTTTTGGCACGGCTTGTGCCCGGGCTGACACAGCCCAACCCCTGGCGCCGTCTGCTCCTCTGGACACACCTCCTGGGGAGCTGGGAACACACCGTGGCCGCGTTACCAGGGAGCCCACGTCCCTCCTGAGGCTGCTGAACTCACCCAGGCCTTTTCCTCTTTAATCACTTCCAAACTGGGGCCGAATTCACGGCACGACTGTTTGTTCAGTGACTCCGGGGCATGACTGTGCATTCGGGCCCCTTCCTGATGGTCCCATGACTGTTCCTTCAGCTTCAATGTCACCTGTTCCAGCCCTCTGCTCTACCCCAGCTCTGCTCACTCACCTCACCCGGTATTTATTGACAGAACCGCTGATAAAAATATTGGATTAATTTGGCTCTGAGAGCCTGTATTCCCACTTACAGCTCCCCTTCCAGCACGCTCCAGTCTCCGAGGGG